TCTGGGCATAAAGGGCATCCCACCACCCGCCTCCCGGTCAAGAAAGGTTTCAGTAAAGAGGCAGTTGCCTGGGACCCGGAAGGAGAGAGGAGACACATAGAACAGACTTCTAGTGTGCCACCCAGTGACGAGGGATGTTATCAAGGGTCCTTCCTGGTGACTTTCCTTCTCGTAAGAGCCACACCAGGCGTGCTTCTCTGCAGGAGATCCATCCCCCAGAGATGGCCCAGGGGGCTGTGCAGCGGCTAAAAGCTTGACTTCGTTCCAAGAGAAATCACTTAGCGTCGTGTTGACACTCTCAGTCTCTGGTTTAAGGGAAGCGTGAGCCCAGGACCAGTGCTGAGCTGTGGTTCCCGGTGATTCTCTGTGCGGGAAGAAAGCCCAAACCACACTGCAGCAGCAGCCGCCCTGGGGTGTGTTTCCTCACAAATGATGGAGCCAGACATAAGCCTGCAAACCAGCCGTCCAATAGCCTGTCTGTGTTGGTAAGCAGCATTCAGAAACACTGAAGTCATAAGCCTTGCTTGAGCCAAGAGAAGGCAGTAATGGCCAATCTCTGGCAACTTCTGTGCTTCCCAGACACTTTACGACAGTGAGTCCATTCACTCGAATGATTGCGTCGCCCATGATCGGGAGGGTTGAAAGCCTCAAAGCTCGGAGCTCCAGGCGCGGCCACTGCAGGGCCGGCAGGGTTGCTGGCCCGTGGCTCTGGCCCACAACTGCTGGCACGCTCTCTGCCCCCCTCCCGACGGTCATAGGAATTAAACGGAATGCCTGTTGCAGTGAGGGATCAGAATTTTGCGTTTCAAGGTCTCCACTCCTGCTTTCTTGCCAGCACGGGGCTCGTCCCTAGTCATTTTTCAGGCCAAACCAGAGAGGAGGTACAGTGTCCTTGCAAACCGCCATCTGCCCAGCTCCAGGTGGCTCTGCGTTTCTCATGTGCACATGATCACAGGTCGGCATGCATGGTCCTCAGCCATCATTCTTCCATCCAGAAGGCTCACGGTGGTTCGTTCACGTGTCTGTTTGCAAAAGAGCAGATTGCTTGTTCCTGCATCTTGTCGGGAGGGCAGGTGTTATCTCTGCATCCCTGGCTTGCAGACCAAACCGGAGCTCCCAGCCAGGTCATAGGAGTCCCACAGAGCTGTAGGGTTACATGGCTGGGGCCTGTCCCGTGCCCAGAGTGTTCCGTGACTGGGACATCCCTTGCCCCTCTCCTAGGATCCAAGCTGTGTGTTGGGAGGTGTGGCCCGCTCTGTCACCCTGCTTCTCCATCTTTGTGATAAGGATCCCAACAGCCCTTTGTGTCAGTGACGTGAGATGATTCGTGCCAACCCTTAGTCCCTCATCTGACCAGCAGGCATCGTCCTCCCCAGATGGTCCTTGCTGGCGCTTGAGCTAATGGTGTGATTGAGGCTGACGTTGGGGGCCAGGCAGCCCCTCCTAACTGCTTTCCTGGGAACTTGCTCTGGCACTCCCAGATCTTCTGCAGAAATCTGCAGTCTCCAGCCAGGCAGCCTTCCCCCCGCCACCCCTGTGGTGTCCTCAGCGTGGTCTCACTCTGGCTATAAATAAAGATTCCCGCCACAGAGAGCAGCAGCTCTGTCAGAAGCACAGTCGGGCACCAGCCAGGTCCTAGAATAAACTCCAGGTGGTGAGGCAGGGGTGTTTCTGCTCAGCGGCCCCCTGCCTTTCTCCCTGCCCTTCCCCCCCCCCCCCCCCCCGCCTTTCTCCCTGCCGTTATGAGGAAGTGTGGTCTTGGAGGCCGGGAAGTACTTCACGGTGGTGCGACGATGAGCCCCAACATGGCCCTCCCCTCCCGAGCTGCAGGAGGGGCACTGAGGGTGCTTGGTGGTGCTCAGAGAGCAGTGCCTTGTCTCTCCCCACTCCGTTGAAGGTATTTTTCAAGCTTGGCTCTCGGCCCAGCAGGACTGCATAGCTGAAATACCGGAGGCTAGAGCTGCAGGGGGTCGGGGGGAAGGGCAGCTGGCCAGGAGGCTTTGTCCTGGAGATGGGAGCCTCCTGGCCTCCTCTGAGGTGGCCCCCTGCTCCTCTGGGGCACACATCCTTGGGGCAGCCGTCCTGGGACGTCCATAGCCTCCCCGCACCCCTGCCCCCACCAGTGTCCCACTGTGGTGGGGACAGCTTGTCTGCTGCCCTTCCACCCTCAGAGCCAAGCCACCGCTGTGAGGCGGGCACTGTTCTGGACACTTGTTACAATCTCAGTCAGTGCGTCCGTGTCCCTTCGTTTGGTAGATACGTGGTAGACCCCGTGACCAGCCCAGCCCTGTTGCCTGGAGGGTTCCCAGACTGGTGCTTCGGAAGGCGAGGGGGGAGAGCGGACACCGTCACGTGCTGGCTCCGTGCTCAGGACCACAGCGCCGTGCTCAGACAGTGCGCACAGACCCTCCGGGCAGTGCTGGTGTTTCCGTGCTCGTTCTAAAGGCGGAGGAACTGGGGTGCCCGGCTGGCTCAGTCTGAGGAGCATGCGACTTGATCTCAGGGTCATGAGGTCGAGGCCCACGTTGAGTGTAGAGATGACTTAAATAAATAAAGACAAAGAAACCAAGCTCAGGAATGTCCGTTATGTACCCAAGGTCCCACAGGTAGAAAGAGAAGGCCCAGAACCCAGTCTGGGTGACTTGAGGATGTGCCTGCCGCAGTGACCCTGGCCGTTGCCTGGATGAGGCACACTCGGCGCATGTGTGTCTGCCACCCTGAGCTCGTCCGGTCAGACCTGATGCACCATGTGATCGCGCAGGCCCAGCTTCTGTAGGCACATCGGCTGCCAGGTCGCCATAGGGCCTGCTCGAGTGCTGAGTGAGCTCGTGTGGGCCAGGGGCCGTCTGTGAGGACAGTGTCGGAACTCCTGTAAGGACTCGCATCTGCCTTAGTCTGTTCATGCTGTCTGACACAGTCGCACAGATGGGGTGGTTACACGCAGCATGGGCCTGGAGGCTGCAGGTCCAAGGTCAGGCCTCCAGCACGGCTGGTGCCCCCTTTCGGTCCCAGTCTTCTCCTTGTATTCTCACGTGGTGGGTGACATCATCAGCTTCTGAGCCTGGTGGCCCCTGGTCTCCCCACCTCCTAATACCACCATCTCTGGGAGTTAGGATTTCAGCATATGAATTTGGGAGGCACAAACCCTAAGCAACATTGGTCTTAAAGTAGTTGGATTTGTGCACAAGTCAGCAGAGCACGGCAGCACCTACCCTTGAGGACGCGCAGACGAGATCTGAGAGCTGGGCTCCCGAGGGAGACGGAGCCACTGCCTGAAGCGGCAGTGTGGGCGTCCCTCGGGGTGGCCTCCTGGGACCGGGCCCCTCTGTCTGCTGGCCAGTGAGAGAGCCTCACTGTGGGGAATGTTGACCAGGGATTCACTGGAGAGTCCCAGAACCCAAATCCTATACCTCACTGCCATCCCCAGCAAGGCCTACGTTGGGTTAGCCTGGGTGGCCACTGGGAGAGGCCGGTGAAACGTGGCACCTGGCTGGTGCGGGCACAGTGGGAGCTACGTCTGAGAGCTACGGAGCCGGGTGCAGCTCGTTCAGAAAGAAGGATGGGCACAGAGCTTCTTACGAGGAAGCTAAACACCTTCAGTGTGTCGCTCAGAATGTGGACAGCTCTCCCCACTGATGTGTTTGGCCATGTACAGGGTTAGTCTTGATTTGGGGAGTCAGGTGGAGGAGAAGAATGTGCGAGAGGGAGTAGGCACCGGGGCAGGTGTCCTGGGTCTGATGGAAACCAGCAGAGCCAGAGGGAGCTTTGATCAGCCCAACCGGGAAGGGGCCGGGGCCGGCAGCAGGTGGGATGGAGGGGAGAGTGTGCCTGTCACTTGAGTTGTGGCCACTCTCAGTCTGGGGCAAAGTGTAACTTCACAAAAACACTTTAGGATGTGAGTGGCCTTAACCTCCTGTTCAAAATTTGATTTCCTCTTTCTCCTTTTCCTTGTCCTGGGTTCCAAAAACTAGCGGCAAAATGGAGAGAACATCTGAGTGAGCAACGTGAACGCTGAGCTCAGCTCTTGCCAGATTCTGACGTTTACAGGGGGCAGGTGGGCCTGGCCAGGACTTCGGATGCAGACCCTTCCACATGTCCCTCTCCCATTACCCTGTGACAGCATCAGGTTGTCAGGCCCTTTGTGGGAAGTGGTGATATCGTCAGGTTCTGAGCCAGGTGGTCCCTGGTCCCAGAGCTCCTCTCTCCCTCCTTCCACAGCAGAGTCCAGGCCCGGACAGTGCTCGTTGACTCTACGAAGCTGCAGGCGTCCACTGTCACCACCACCGCCCCCCAGCCCGGCTTCAGACTCGGTCTTGATGAGAATTTGAGAGAGTGTGGCCTTGCAGCTCTAGGCTGGTATCCGAAGCACTGCAAGACCCTGTCATTTGTTTAAAAAAGAAAAAAGATTGTATAGGAAAGGACATGAACTCAGAAATTTTTAGCGTTTTGATAATACGGTCCTTCCAACCATTTTTAAGGCCTAATCTTTCCCTCCCCAAAAGCATCTCAGGTGGATTATGGTATTTGAAAGGCTGCAGTGTTTGACTTTCAAGGGATAAAACCAAGGAGATTCATGCAAAAGGTTCAAAATGACCAAATATGACCCAGGTGTATGAGTCCACATACTGAATTTAGCCAGGAGATTCCTGAAGACATTGCAGGGTTTGGGTTTGGCAGGTTGGGTTCTCTGACAGCAGAGTGGGATTACTGGTCCAGCATGGGGTCTGGCTTTTCTGTGGGGGTGCCCGCGTCCCACTGTTAAGACATGGAAGATGGCGCTGGTCGGTCCTCGGGCCCTTCTCAAGGGAGGATGTGCCTGAGTTGGGCAACCTCGGCCGGAGGAATGGGGGGGTTGGTTTGGCCTGATCGGTGGTCCTTGTTAGAATTACTGTCAACAGCCCGCGCAGCTCAGCTGAGTTAATCTAATGACTTTTTCTTTTGTCTGTTTTCTTCCTCCCATTTTCCTGTTTTTGTGTCTGTCTTCCGCTTTGATTCCGTAGTATAAATCTGTGTTTAGGTCCTACTCCCAGGATTTCGTGCCTCACAACCAAGCTTCTGTTCAACCTTTCCTTCCGTCTACCTCCTCTTCCTCTCCACATTTCCCACCCGTCCACCAGTCTCAGAGCTCTGACTTAGCGGGGCCAACCGTAGCCAGTCTGCCTCCCAGCACCGTGGACGGGCCTCTCTCATCTTCTCAGGAGAGCAACTTTCATGGGAACACTGTCTGCCTTCCTTCCGAAACCTCTTTCACTGACTCGCCCCAGACGCCTTCGGTGAGAACTCCGTGCACACCCCCCTCCACGTGGGGCTGCCCATTTTAAGAGACTGGTGCGGCTGTTCCCGAGGCCGTCGCCGCCTGTCCCCGCAGCCAGGCCCGTTGCCGGTGCACACCCCGGTGGCAGCGGGGCACGATCCAGGTCCCCGGAAGGTCACAAGGTGCCATAGTAGCCTGTTTCCAGCAGCGGGAACCTTCCATACAGAGTTCCCGTCAGGTGGGGAATCTGATTTTCCAAAAACGATTGGTGACCGTTTGGAGACCGTCCTCATAAGGCTGAGACAGAGAGTGCTCCGTTTTCCGTGGGGTCGTGTGTTAGGGAAAGCTGCCGACGCGCTGGGAAGACAGCTGCAGACGGGCTCGGACAGCGGTAGGGGCCAGTTGCATGCGCGGTTGTGTGTGTGCTGGCGGAGGGCCTGCTGCCAGGCCGTGTCACTCATGGGGCCGGCAGGTGTCGACTGGGCGGTGCGGCCTCTGGCCCCCGCTGCGCCGGGAAGCCTGCAGGCCCCGTGGCCGCAGCGCCTCCTGGGGGCAGTTTGAATGGCCCTCGACCTCTTTGGAGAAGGTCCCGCAGGAAACTTGCGTCCCCCTTAACGCAGAGGCAAGAGGTGGCCAAAGCGCAGCCTTCTCGGGCCTGGGAAAAGCTTCCCGGGAGCGGCGAGGGCAGCTGCCGCCATCCGCTCCTCCTCCCCAGTGTCCTGCTCAGGGCCGGCCCGGCAGGCCGCTCTCTCTGAGCCGTGCGGGGTGGCTGCGGGCCTGTCACATGTGCGTTTCCTCTCATCCTGTCTCCCCCAGAGTGAAAACACCAGTGAGGAGGCTGGTGAGGGTGAATACGTCAATCTGTATTCCTCTGGCCAGAGCCGCGAGGAGCTGGCTCGCTCTCGAGGCGTAAGTAACGTCAGGGCGGCCTCGTGCATGCGGCCGGGCCGGGCCCTGCTTCTGCCTGGCCGGGAGCCCGCATGGCTCCGTGGGGAGAGGACGAGGCTCCCAGAGCAGGTCCTCCCCCCGCTTGCAGTACGTGTGGTGCGCTTCAGGCCTGGCCGGGGAGTCTTCTGGACATCCGCGGAGGCAGCGTGGCGTAGGCCTGGCCACACATCGGTTGCTCTCCAGGTTTCTTTCTAGTCCGCCCTGCTAGCGTTGAAGTCCATCTTCTGTCCCCAACCCAGAGGGCGGGAGCCTTCCCTCCCACACCGCCACGGTCCCAGCCTTGGCCCCCTCACACTTCCCCTAGCACGCCCCTTCTCCCCGCGGGAACTTCCTCAGAAGCTGGGCAGGCCTGGCCGGGAGCCCCCGCTGTGTCAACACACCTGCCGCCTGAGAGCATAGAGAAACACCTGGTGTGGCCCCGCTTGGTCGACTTCTGTCCCAGCTCCATACGGCCGTTCTGCTGAGCGGTCAACTTCCCACGTTTTGCTGCAGCAAAACGTGAGCAAGTTCAAAAGCTTCCAAAATAATGAGTCCCTTGAGAGGAGGCGCCATGAGGACTCAAGTCCTCCCTGGTGACCAGCTCACAGGGCCCAGCCTGTTAAAAGTCTAGTCACTCCTGGTAACACGAAGCCCACCAGGGGCACCCCCACAGGATCCTAGATGTCCACACAAGGCAAGCCCCACTGGAGACGTTTGCAAGTCCTAGAGCTCTGTGGATTTTCACTGCAGTGGGATTCTGTCCACCGGAGACAGGAACCCAATCCCTGGAAGCTGCTTCTCCTCTGGTGTTTCCTCCTCCCCTGTCTCTTCTGGTGACCTGCGCCCCTGCGTCACCCAGGTCCGCCTCCACACAAGGAAGCTGTTCGCTAGCTGGCCTTCGTGGCTCTCCCTCCACCCGGGACCACGTTCAGTGCTGACTTCACCTCCGAGCACTCTCTCTGAGGATGATCTGTGTGTTCATGCCACCCTGCTCTCTCTTGTGGCCTCGGTGGCAGTCCAGGGGTGCCAGATCGCCGTGTTGTCACCAAGTGGGTTGGGCCCAGATTCCCAGGGCCAGGCCGCTGGAGGAGAGGGGGTTGCAGTCATGCACTCGAGCAGCTAGACCCCTTGGAACCCTAACTGGGAGGCACTTGACCATGGCAGTCCTGAGGACTGGTTTAACTAGGAAGTCAGCCGAGGCTTGCTGCACACTGGCAGGGCACCGTGGTTAGGGACACAGGTTTTGGGGGCAGAGGACCCTCGGCTTGAATGCAGGCTGCAACCTTCTAGCCGTGTGGTCTTGGGCAGGGCCTTTAACCTCTCCCAGCATGTGGCGGGGGTGGGAGGGGGCACTGTGATGCCAGCGAATGGACAGGGTCTTGGTCAGGGCCAGGTGAGAAGAGGTACTTGAAGCCCTTAGTGCAGTGCCTGGCTGAGCTTGGCTGAGTGGTGGCGACCCTGGCAGTCCTTTCTTCGAGGAGGTGCTTGGGATGGCTTCCTCTAGGTTGGCAGCTGACAGAGGTCCTAGGTAGGGGTACCTGTTATGTCCACAGAGGTGCGATGCTAGGCCGAAGAGGGCCTCCCCCTTCTGTGTCATTGGCCGCACTCACAGTTCCCTGCTCACATCTCGGATTGCTCTGTAGGAACTTGCACTTGAGGCCGCTTGCAGGCGGAATGCTGGGAAGCAGATCCGCCAGCGTGGGGCACCTGTCATAAACCCAGCACTTCTCTTTTCAGGAATCACCAGCTATGAAAGACGGCCATCCCATAGATCCCTCGTCGGCCAGCAGCGCAGCGGGGAAGGAGAGCAGAGACGGCGACAGGTAGGGAGTGGCCGTATAGTGGAGGTTCCCTGAGAGCCGCAGGCTGGGCTGGGGAGGGCAGCCCCCTGCCCACCAGCACGCCAGGCCTGTGGGAGCTGGCGGTGTACATCCTTCCCTTTCCTTCTGACTCACAAAATTCTGCATGTTCAGGGTAGAAAACATGACAAGTACAGAAACGTGCGAGTCAGCCAGAAAAATCACTAATAATCGCACCCTTTAAGGCGTCCGATCTGGCATGCAGTCCGCCCTCCTGATTACGTGCTCACATACCACCGACTCTGCAGATGACCCAGGATAGTCTCTTAAATCCCAGGCCAACCTTCCTTGGCCTCTTCCAAGTTCAGGTGCACTAAAGGGGTGTCAGAGACCCCCATCCCCACCCAAAAAACGTGAGTTACTAGGTGTGTATATTGTGTTAAACCATTTGAAAGTAAGTTACAGACTTGACAGTCAGCTTCTAACTACTTCAGTGTGTCTCCTAAAATATTTTAATTTTTTTGAAAGACTTACTTATTTGAGAGAGAGGGCAAGTGAGCACGTGGGGGTAAGGGAGGGTGGGCAAGAGGGAGAGAGTTAGAATCTCAAGCAGACTCACTGCCCGGCACAGAGCCCGCCTGACACAGAGCTTGATCTTATGACCCGGAGATCCTAACCTGAGCCGAAATCAAGAGCTGGATGCTTAGGGGCGCCTGGGGGCCTCAATCAGTTACGGGTCTGCCTTCAGCTCAGGTCATGATCTCAAGGTCCTGGGATCCAGCCCCACATCAGGCTCCCTGCTCAGTGGGGAGTCTGCTTCTCCCTCTCTCTGTGCCCCTCCCCTGCTCATGTTCACTCTCACACTCTCTCAAATAAATAAATAAATATCTTAAAAAACAAAAAAAGAGTTGGACGCTTAACTGGCTGAGCCACCCAGGTGCTCCTCCTCCTAAAATATTTTAAAAGTCTACCAGATTATACCATTATCACACCTAAGAAAATTAATAATAAACTCCCTCGTATCATCTGACATGTAAACCATCTTCCATTTGCCCAACTCTCCCTAAAATTAACTTGTATAGCTTATTTTTAGGGGACAGGATCATTCGGGAGTCAGTACACTTAGTCGCACGTCTCCTTAATCTTTTGTAACATTTTTCAGTATTAGCACAAGTCACAGCCGACCAGGTTCAGAAATATGTAGTAAATTTCTCCACGTGTAGGACCCACAGACTCGCTCCGCCATCGGCGACTTCACGAGGACGTCGCCTTCTTCGTGAACCGTTACACAATTCAAGCTTTTCCTCCCTCTCCAGGCCCAGGTTCAGCTGCCTCTGGGTTCTGGGCACAGAGCGAGGCAGGACCCACTTGTCGGGCCTCAGCATAAATGGTTGAGAAGGTGGTAAAAATAAAACAGCGAGAGACAGGAGGAAACACAGACCCCGTTCCTTCTACAGGGGCTTCTGAGGAGGGCTGCCTGCCCAGCCTGCTCGTGGCCCCTCCAAGGAGCTACCCGTGTGGAATCCGCCTGGTCCGCCTGCCCTGGCTGAGATCTCCCCATGGATTAAGCAGGGGCTGATGGGTTTCTAGTTAACACCCAGTAGCAAACGGCGTCTGTGCCAAGCCGCAGAAGCCCACGGGTCCTGCCTCCAGCTGCACTGAACCCGAGACCACCATTTTCCAGAATTGCCGATGGCCCTTGAAGAAAAAAAGCAGAAGGAGGGGCACGTTCACTGCTTAGAAGCAGTTACAGAATGTCCTCTTCCCACAAAGGCCAGACCGCGGGCCTGACACTGAAGGCACACGTAGCAGGTGGTTCTTCCCAGGACTGTGTGATTTTGCTCTGGGCCATCCTTGTCTTACTGAAGGCACAAATTTTTATGTCTCACATACTTAGGGTTAAAAATGTGGCCCGTGACCTAGGCCAGCCTGGGCCTCATAGGCTCCATGGTAGAAATCATCAGAATAAAATGGGAATATGAGAGAAGATGCTGGGGCAAGCAGGGCGCCTACAGACCCAGTGTCTGTCTGCTCCCGGAATGCCCCCTCGCCACCCCACACTTCCCTTCCGCTGGTGGTTCTCTCCTTCTCCCCCACTCACCAGCACATTCCTGCTCTGCTCAGTGCTGCAGGGCTCGGCTCGGCTGTCCTGCCACGGGGGCCTGTTGTCATTCACACTGGCCTGGGTCTTCCTGCTCAGGCTGGTGCCACTGCTGCTTGTTTTAATGTCAGTCTCTCCTGCTACACCCAGCATCCCAAGGACAAGGGCCAGTCTGCCTGGTTCATGCTTCTGTCCCTCAGGAATGTGGCCTTCGGAAAAGACTTGAGGAAGGACGCTAATAGCCATGCGAACTCTCTTCCAACCTGAGCCCTTTTGCTCTTCCTGTCCTTGGATACCCACTGTGCATAGGGTGGCCTTCACAGTGACTGATCCCATCACTTATGTAAATAGCTCAGGGAAACCTTGAACTTTTTTTTTTGCTTTTCATTTTTTTTTTCTTTTTTTTTTTTTTTTCAAGTAGGCTCCACGTTGAGCATGGAGCCCCACACAGGACTTGAACTCGTGACCCTGAGATCAAGAACTGAGCTGAGATCAAGAGTCAGATGCTTAACCAATGAGCCGTGCAGGCTCTCCAGGATCCTTCTTAATCCCTTCTATTGACAGAGCATCCACAGAGAGCAGGAAATGTCCCAAGGTCACACAGGTCATCAGTAGCGATGCTGGCAGTCCAGTCCGCGCCCTGGCTTCTGGCCCCCACTCAGGCCCCCGTGCTGGATGTGGGGAGTGGCGTGGCCTGCACACGAGAGCTGCAGTTCCAGAAGAACCTGTCAGTAGTAGTCGTAAATCGGAGTCTTGCAGAGAGCTGCACGGCCTCAGCCCCCTGGTGTCCTGGACCCCGGGGCCTGCTGGACCCTTACAACACAAACCACTTCTCTCTAGGGCCTCCAGGTCACCGGATGGTTCAGAGTTGGCGCGGTCAGAGGAGGAAGTGGACGAGCTGTCCCTCATCGACCACAGTGAGATTATGGCCAGGCTGACACTCAAGCAAGAGGTGAGTACAGGCCGTGTGTGGCCCGGTCTGTATAGGGGTGAGGGGGCTCTGAGGACAGTGTAACCTTGAGGTGTCTCAAACAGAAGGACCCAAGCAAGGCAGTGACAGGTGAGGTTGGCACCCCCCCACCCCCACTTCGTGAGCTCTGCGCTCGGCGTTTATCCTGGGCACGTGGATGGCCTCCTGGAGAGAGTGCGCTGTCCCCTTCTCTGACACTTCCCATCAGTCATCTTGGCAAATCAAGTACGATCTCTAAGCCCCAGAGCACAGGACTTTGGGGGGACACTGTAACAGTGGAGCCCGCGTAGGGTGCTCAGCACGGACGCGAGTGCAGCGAGCCCTCAGTAGCATAAGCTTCCTTCCCGTCGGTATCGACCAAACCAGCCCCTGTAGTTTCGGTGGGAGCCTCAGACTGATTGAGACGTCTCTGGCCTGCAGCCGCCTCTGTCCTGTGCCTTGTCAGGAGGACCTGGGCGATTCTGGAAACCCAGAGGAACGTCTTAATACGCTCACCCTGACCCGGCCTGCGGGGTGACTGTGTTTCTGGGCTCTGGCTGCGCGGCGGCACACACACAGAACAGGCAGGGCGGGGCTGGCGGGTCCCTGGGGCAGCCAGCTTCTCTGCAGAGAGAAGTGATGCTTCGTGACCCTTGCCAGAAAAGTTCTGAACAATTGGGTCATGGGCAGCTGCCCTCAGCCTTAGCTGGAAATCCAAGATGCTCTCGGGACTCTGGAATCCAGGGGTGAAAACATGGACGCCCTGGAGAGGCAGGTGCATCTCCGAAATGGAGGGCCTGGGGGGCTCAGAACCAGAGGCGGAGGGGCAGGGCCCGGTTGTCAGGCAGGCCTGCCAGATGACTTCTGTCTCTGGCTTTGGGCAGGTTTATGGGCTAAAACCTCTGTTTGGCCGCCTGGAAGTATGACTTTTTCCTTAATTGGCAAAGGGTAGCCGATAGCCTCTGTAAGCAACATCTGGGACAATTAAACATCTTTGTGACGCTTTACACTCCTTTGAGGGCTCCCTGTACAGGAACTTGTAACATGACAAGTGACTCTTCCTTCCACCTGGGGAAACAGATGTAAATGTGGGGAGGCTTGCTGCAGTTTTAGGAACATGACCGTACTCGGGCTTAGCTCTGCTGCCCCTGTGGTATTGTTGGGAGTGGCTGGTGCAGTCCTGCCTGCCTCCATGGGAGGGTCCCACCGCTCCCAGCGTGAGAACGTCCCTCCTCATGTCCCTGTCCCCTGGCTTGGTGAAGAGGGAGAGATCTGTTGGTGCCATCGTCCCTCAACTCTGCTGTGACCCAGCACAATGTGCCCTGGTATCTGGCCGGCTCCCAGGGCCGTCCGCCTCCCAGATGAGCTCTGGTCTGCGCGGTCTTCGGAGTGTGGAGTGGCCTCTGTGCCCGGTCATGCTGCTCCCAGGCAAGGGAGGGCGGGGGCAGGGTCTCTGCAGTGCCTCGGCTCGGTCGTCTTCTTCTGCTTCGGACTTCCTGATCGGACTCTGACGGCTGCATTCCGCTGCACGCCCTCCTTTGCTTTGTCTTTGCAGGGTGACGACGGGCCAGACGTCCGTGGCGGGTCTGGAGATATCCTGCTGGTGCATGCTACTGAGACAGACAGGAAAGGTGCGGCAGCGCCCTGAGCAGGGGACTTGGTCCTTGTCACTGCTCTTGGGGTGGGCTGGCCCCACAGACCTCAGGGGGTTCCGAACGTGGTCCTGGTGACCTGCAGTCATTGTGCAGAGAGCCTACCCCTGGGGATGGGACCAGCTCTCTCAGGGTAGGCCCTCCGTGGGTGCAGCCTAATGATGACCCCAAGGGCCCCCAGGGGCCGTGGAGAGAGAGCTTCAATGCAGAGCTCAGCACCTCAGGTAACAACACGTCCGATACTGTTAACCTTCCAGCAGCATGTAGGTGTAGCTGTTTCTAGTTTTCCTGATGTCTGACCCATTATGTTATTCCAGACACCAGACAGAGTTTCACTTGTGGCCTCCACGAGGAGACCCCGGCACGTGTTCTGTCCGGAGCTCAGTCTCAGGACAGTGGTGGCAGTGTCTAGGACAGAGTTCTGACCCCTCAGCACGTGGCCACCCCATTCAGTGTCCTGATCGCATTAGCAGGGCTGGGAAGGCAGGGGACCTAGTGTTGGGTGGACTCTGTGCTAGCTATCTGGTCCGGCAGGGAGGGGAGAGGAAGGGCTGTGACCTTGACCTCGACCTCCACCAGGAGTGCTGCAGGTCCTGCCATGGGGCCCCCCCGCACACTCCTTTTCCTACTACGTCTTTGAAAGTTATTAAAAAGGGGATGTGACAACAGTATTAAAGCCAATTGTGTGAAAAATTAAAATGCCCCAATCCAGAAACCCTCACCCACCAGTTTTATTTTTATATATGACCATGTCCCTGTTTTACAGTAAATTTCCCCAGATATATTACACAGAATGGTTTGCGGAATTTTTAAATTACAAAAACAGTACAGAAATGGTCACATTGCAGAAAATTTGAATACTAGGGAAAAAGAAGAAATGATCCCAACAAACTTACCATAGCCATTACTTTGCCCTTTGGGGTTTTTTCACCCCCGGTTTCTTTGGACTAGGGCAGAAGCCCAGTCCTGGGGACTGAGTTCAAAGCCAGGCACGTCCTGTCCCTTCCCAGCCTCAGCAGACCCGCCTGTTTGAAGAGGTCCCAGTGGGCAGGGAGAGGTGCAGAGTTGACGTGAGGCCGCAAGGCGCAGGCCATTCAGGAAGCAGCGAGCGTGCTCAGAAGCAGCCCTCGCTCTCCTCCGCAGCACCCCCACCCCCACGCCTGCCTGAGCGCTGGCCTCAGCTGGGCAAGAGGAACAGCTGTCATTTCCATCCAGAGGGCTCAAGGGGGAGCTGGCTCCGTCCTTGGCTCGGGGCACCAAGCGCTGAGGTCCTGTAGGGGCAGCCAGCTGCAGTCCCGGCCAGAGGGAGCCCTGGGTGCAGGGCAGTCCAGAGTCTTCCAGGTGGCCAGCGCCCCCAGGACAGGAGGTGCTGCTGCCAGCAGGGACCTCCACTTGACTTCAGTCATGGAGAGATGTTGAGACTACAGGGAAACAAAGTCCCGTGCACATGGATGGATGGTGGAGGCAGAGTTCAGAGGTCCTGGCCACACTGAACATTCCTTGGGCAGGTGGTTTCCTGTGGACCAGAGACCACCCTGGTGGTTCTCCACTGGATGCCCACGGCTCAGGGCCTGCAGACTTGGATCTCGTCCTCCAAAGCAGGCCCTGGCCTGTGCTGGGCCCATCTCTGCCTCCTTACCCAGCCCATCTCTGAACAAAAGCCCCAGTGGGTGGTGAGCTGGTGAGTTGAGGGGTCCGGAGAGGAGGGGCCTGAGCAGGATGCTGTCGGGCCATGCTGTGTGTTTCCTGCCCAAGAGCCTCCTTCCCAACACCTGGTCTGCCGGCCAGGCCCACCCCAGCCAGACCCCAGATGCCGGAGCAGATGTTGCTTTTGCTTTCGTTTGTCCTGGAGGTGACCAGGCAGGCCAGGGCACAGGAGCCAAGATTCAGCTGAGCCTGGCAAGCTGGGGGATAAGTGAGAGAAGACGGGAGGAGGGGGTCCGTGTCCAGAGAAGACCAGCCTTATCTTTGGCCTCGCATTATGTGGAAATTCCCAAGATTTTTGTCCCTGGGCCCTGCCATCTCAAGTATTCCCTGTGATTTAGCTTCATAATCCTGCGGATGAGTTTGAGTTATTTTCTCTGTGCCCACGGTCCGAGGTACATGCAGCAGGCGCGCTGCCCGTCTTTGTCCCCTGCCAGCAGCAAGCGTCAGTAATCAGTTGTTCTTTGCTCTAGATTTGGTCCTGTACTGTGAGGCCTTCTTGACCACCTACAGGACCTTCATCACGCCGGAGGAGCTCATCAAGAAGCTGCAGTACAGATATCCTTCCCCGCGGCGCCCCCGCCCTGGCCCCACGCCTCTGCCGGCTCAGAGCCTTCGGAGGCAGCCAGGAGAGAGAGGGCCTTGCCTGCCTGCTCCCCGCGCCCTAGCTTCGGGGCCTCGGGCCAGGCTTTCTCTTGCAGTCCCCTTCCTTGTCTGAGTGCTGAGTGAGGGACGTGCGGGGCCGGGTCACGGGTGTGCTGACGGCAGCTGCGGCCACTAGGGAGTCCTGAAGAGGAGTTAGGAGCGGCTGACTCACCCCAAGAGGGAGCACACGCACAGGCCCCTGCAGCTCCTGAGCCGAGCCCCAGGCCGCTGAGGTGACAGGTCCCAAGTGTGCGGGGCTTAGGGGAGTCAAGACTCACATGAGCAGCCTCGGGGGAAGGCACAGCCACTCTGCCTGGTGGCAGACCCCGCAGCAGACAGACCACGTCCAGACAGAATTGGCCCCTACCCCTTAGCTGTCTCGGGCTCGCCCTTTCCAGCGTGACTCTGCAGTAGCGGTCACGGAAGACCCCGGGCCCTAGGACCCAGCGTCCTTGACTTTCTCTCAAACCTGCTCCTCCTGCGGAGGCTAACCAGAGCTGCTGCTCTGAACCACAACCCGCCCTGGCACCCGGCCCCGCCCCCTCCCCATGTCACAGCCCACGACTGCCATCTGCCGGACAGCTGCTGCTGCTCGGGCCAGGAAGTCCTGAGTCCTACGGCGGCCTCCCTCCCTTTCTGCGTGCCCTGAGGCTCGGCCTCTTGTCTCCCCCGCACCCTGTCGCTCCTTTCACTGTCCCCGTGCCCCAGCCCTAGAGGACCTGGTCCCTCGAGAGGGAAGGAGACGGTCCTCACTGCAGAAACATGTTCCTTCAAGCCTCACGCGTTCAGTTGCTCCCAGGCCTGGCTCAGCAAGTGACAGTAACTCACACTTAATAAGAACTTCTAGTGTCAGGCAGGATGCTAACTAAGCCCATGCGCGTGGAGGCTCATTGAGCTATGAAACTACTTGCTTTTTTATAAAACGTTTTTATAAAACTACTAGCACGTTACTTATGCCGTTATGTTACTACTTATCACGTGACTCGGGAAGCAGCCTCAGAGAGCCTGAGTGACCCACACGGCAGCTCGGTGGGCGAGGGGCCACCCCGTGCCCCCACGCTCCTGAGCTCCGGTCCCGGCACCTGCCCTGCGTGACTGCTGCAGGCATCCGTGGGGACGTCGCAGCACCAAGGTCCTGGGCACAGCTGCCTAGTGAGCCCTGTGCAGCAGGCCCTGGGGTCAGCGCTGTGAGGCTCCTTCCTGAGCACTCGTGGATCCCTGGAGAGCGGCAAGGAGAGCCTGGCAGGGCCTGGAGAGTTGACGGTGAACACGAGGGGATGGTGAGAGTCTGTGCTCCTCCAGGCAGAAACCATGACCTTGGGGAGGAACTGGAGGTGGTCGGGTGTGTGGCTGCTGAGGGGAAGGAGTGTCTGAAGCTCCAGAGTGGGCCGGGAGGGGGCTCGGGGCAAGAGTGCAGGAGGCAGCTGTGGGCCACGCATCCTCCACCCAGTCCCATTGAGAGGGTGTTCAGGGCATGTGGATTCTGACCACCTTTGACCACCTGAGGCCCAGCCGGGCAGCCTGCAGCGTTTCCGTAAGTCCCACGGGCAGCTTGGGGGCCCGGGGGAGACCTGACAGAAGGGCAGTGGAAGCTGTCCCACGAGCATAGCTCCTGGGGGCGGGGGCCTGGCTCCCAGGGCTCCTGCACATAAGCACCCTGTAAGCGGCAGCTGGGACAAGGTAGCGCCCCCCCCGCCAGCCCTGCCTGTGTGAGAATGGCTTTCCGTAACCCACACTCCACGTACGAGAAGTTCTCTCCCTTTGCCGACACATTCAAGAAGCGTGTCAGCAAGAACACGTTCTTCGTGCTGGTGCGGGTGGTGGACGAGCTCTGGTGAGTGCTTGTGCCCAGGAAGTGGCAGGGAGTCCGGCAGGCCTGGGGCACCCCAGGGTTTCCCATCGGGGCTGTAGGCTTCCTTGCTGAGACCAGGACATCCTGTCCCGTTCCATCTGCCTCCCCCAAGCGGCGTGCCCACAGAGCTGCCCCGTGCAGCTCTGGGTCGGGCTCGTGCTTGCCCACCTGAGCAGGACTCTGGGGAAGAATGAGCCAGCCACCCAGACCAGGCACGGGCCACACCGATCTCCTCGTGGGGCCATCCCTTGCACGTGCAGCTTAGGCCTGGTCCCCAGCAGCCACAGGGTCAGCGGGCAGGGGCGGCCTCCTGCTGTCACCCAGCACGGCCCACCCTGACTCAGCACTCACTTAACAAGCGCACGTCCAGCTGCTCCCTCTCCTGGGTCTGCAGAGCCGGGCTGAAGGAAACCTCGGGCCCTGCCTTCAAGGCATTTCCGTCCTGCGGGGAGAATGGCCTCCACCCTGGACGGCACCGAGACTGACCACCGAGCATAGAAAGCGCCGTGTGGAGGGAGTGCGGGAGCGTCCTGCGGGCGGGGGCCTCAATGACTCACCACCCAGGGGACCAGGGGCTGCCTCAGGGTCTGGGCTGGAGTGGGACGGTCTCCCTGGCCCAGGCCTGCACGTGGGTGCTGGAGCTTGTCCCGCGCCAACAAGCATTTGCTGAGAGTGTGGCCGTTCTGTGTCACCCGTGGGACCGCTCCCAGTGCTTCTGAGGTGGCCGTCTCGACACCTTTTCTTGCTCTCTTCCCTGAAGAGGTTTCCGAGCTCTGCTGGTCGCTGCCACATGACCCTTGGGTATTCTGAGGTGGATTGTGGGCGCGGTGGTAGCCGTCCTCTTCCTGGGCCGTGACACAGGGCCCCTCACTGTGTGGCCCTTGGTGCTCTAGCCTTGTGGAGTTGACAGAAGAGATCTTGAAGCTGCTGATGGAGCTGGTCTTCCGCTTGGTGTGCAGCGGGGAGCTCAGCCTGGCCCGCGTGCTCCGGAAGAACATCCTGGACAAGGTGGACCAGAAGAAGCTGCTCAGGTGTGCCAACTCCGACCAGCCCCTGGCAGCCCGGGGTGTAGCCGCCAGGTGAGCCGGAAGAGGACAGGAGTGGTGCCTGGTAGCCATCCCCCAGCCCTAGAGCCCCACGTCCTGGTTCTGCCCAGACCCTGCAGCAGGAGGTCTTCTGGACAGCCCCATGGCTTCCCCAGGAGCTGGGCTGCTTCTCCAGGGGGTCATGATGGGTGATGTTTAAAATTCCCCTTTTTAACCAGGAAGCGGGGGGCACTTACTGGGACAGGAGACAGGTGCACGCATTTCTGCTGTGGTCGGCTCTTGTCTTCCCGGCACTGATGTGGCAGCTGTGCGTGCTCAACCGCCCCCACCCCTGCCCGCCCTTTGGGCCCTGCTGAACCTTCCTATGAACCTGCCACAACCTACTCCGTTGCCGGTGGCCTGGCCAGCAAGCGTTTCAGCCTTCATCCCTGTGGCACCGTCTGTCCCCACTGGGCCCCGGCCGTGAAGTCTGGCCGAGTTCTCACGCAGCACAGTTGTCTGTGCTGAGCCATGGGACCCACCCAGCAAAGGTGCCATGGTCCCCGACAAGAGTGCAATCTGGTGCTGCCCTGCCACTGGCCGGCTGGGGGGCCAGGCTTGGGGCAGCTGCTCTCTCTGGCCGCCCAGCTGTGAGGCCTCAGGACAGCACCCAGCCAGCTCCCGTCATCCCTGTCCCCACTGCTCATCTCATGTCTCTGTCTTCTAGGCCAGGGACTTTGCATGACTTTCACAGCCATGAAATAGCTGAGCAGCTGACCCTGCTGGATGCTGAGCTCTTTTATAAAATAGAGGTATGCAGTGAAGCAGGGCTGGGGGCTGCGGAGAAGGCTGTCCCCTGCCCCGGGATGAGCAGCTGCTGCTGGTCCCTCAGCAGGAGAAACTTGCCAGGAAGCCAGAGGGCTCTAGTGCCATCCAGTCTACTTCCTTTTCCAGATTCCTGAGGTTTTGCTTTGGGCAAAAGAGCAGAATGAGGAGAAGAGCCCAAACTTGACCCAGTTCACGGAGCACTTCAACAACATGTCCTACTGGTAAGAAGGGGCAGCTGTGCGAACCCCCAGCGGTCTCTGGCAGCGTGTCGGGCCGGGTGCCCGAGCTCTCCCTCCCATGGGAGGAGGTGCCCCTTCCTCCCAGCTCCTTCCGAGGCCCTGGGCATTACTTGAGAACTGCAGGCAGCAGAGAGCCCGGTGGCGGAGGCGGCGGCTGCAAGGAGTGCCAGGAGCAATTGGTAATATCTGCCGTAGGCGGCCGCAGGGACGGGTGTCTGCGGTGCCACTCCGCGCTGGTCACTGCCCAGCTCCCCACTGCCAGGCAGCCTCAGGGCTGAGCCCCACAGGATGCTGCCTGAAGAAAACAGCAAAGGCGTGCGTTCTATTAATACTTTAATTAGGCCTGAATTCTTAAAGCAAAATGAAGCCCAAAGATGTGCTTATACCAACATGTAACAGAATGGTGAGCTTTTCAAGACATGATCTGAAGGTGCCCCCAGCCTCTCAGAGAGGGGGTAGCCACGCAGCCAGCACTGCGCCCACTGCTGGAACATCTATGAGTTGTTAAACGTGGCGAGGACTGCTTGTTGGAGGGCACTTGGGTCATGGCCCACTTTGCCAGCTTTGCTTCCCACCTCACAGCAAGTGCTCCGCTCCCCAGCAACGGGAGCTGAGCCATAGCAAGCCACCCTGAGAAGCGGTGGTGTATAGGCTGGCGGACACTGCACGCAGCCCTGAGCCCCGCCTCTGCCATACCCCTCGGGGGCTTCCGAGGCGGTGGCGCTTGCTCCAAGTGCCCTGGCAGTGGCCCCCCGTGAAGCCACAGGGTCTTCAGGCCATGGTGAGGTCCTCGTGCGAGGCTGGGCTTGTGGTGGCCGCCGAGGTTCTCAAGGTACCCTCCCAACGCCATGCTCCCTCGTCTCCTAAGCGAGTCCCGAGGCCACAGGAGGAGCATTTCCAGACCCAAGAGTGCTGGGGTCCGTGCTCGTCAGGAAAGTCCGCTTGGATGCTCCAAAGCGTCCATCAGCACGCGTGGCCCAAGGTCCCCGTCACACTGTGTGTGACCTCTCGGCCTGTCCCTGGGATGCTGTGAGCTCCTCGAGAGCAGAGATGGGGGGCTGTGCTTGGTGTCCCGGAAGCCCCAGGCGTGCGGTGCAGGTGTCTGTCCCTCTCCACCAGGACCACCTAGGGGTCTAAAAGGAGACCAGTCAGCTCAGCCAGCTCTTCTGCCCTTTGGTCTTACAGGGTCCGGTCAATAATCATGTTACAAGAAAAAGCCCAGGACCGGGAGCGGCTGCTGTTGAAGTTCATCAAGATCATGAAGGTAGCAGCGGCTGCCGTCCCCGGAGTCCGCTCCTTCGAGCCCCGCCCAGGAGCCCTGGGCCTGCCTCACGGCCGCCTCTCCCTCTCTCTGCAGCACTTACGGAAGCTGAACAACTTTAACTCCTACCTGGCCATCCTCTCGGCGCTGGACTCGGCTCCCATCCGCAGGCTGGAGTGGCAGAAGCAGACCTCGGAGGTGAGTGGCTGGGAGGGAGGCCGGCCGGCCCCTGGGGAGCCAGCCATGGGGGAAGGCACGCAGGTGTCTGCTTGGCTGCCAGCCACCCCCCAGCCCCTTGGCTTGCTGTGGCTTATCTCCGATCTTTGGGTCCGGAGGGGCTGCGTCGTTGGTGCTGGGGTTGTCCCCTCACAGGGTCCTGCTGCCTTGGCTGCGGGCCCGTATCTGGGTCCCCGCTTCACTGCTTCCTTCCTTCTGGAGGGGCTGCTCCAGGCTGGCGGCAGCACTCCTCCTTAGGGACATGCTGTGGACAGGCCAGACCTATTGATTTCTTTAGGGAAATGGCCAAAAGGGCAAGGACGGGGCGGTGTGGCCCGTTTGGGGGGCAGGGAGGTCCCTGAGGAAGGGTCAGTCATACCAAGACCCAAACAGGAAGAATTTCCTGAGAACGAAGGGAATTCCCAGGCAGAGGGGACAGAAGCGTGTAGAGACTGGCATGCACAAGCAGCCGGACAGAGGCCAGCATGGTCATATCACTGGGGAGGGGACCTGCTCTGGACCATGAGGGCCTTGTGTGGGGAGGCTCCTTGAGAAGAAAGGCAGAGCCCACAGGGGCTGGATGTCAGCTGGGCCACCCAGGTGTTATCTCAAGGGGTGACATTAAGGGACAGTTGTAAGTCTACGGTATGGAGAAGTGTGGGACCTTCACAGTGGCTGCCACAGAAACACCTGGGAGGTCCTGAAGAGGACACACGTCAGGGTGCAAAGTAGCTAACAGGTGAAGAGGCGAGCGGGGCGGATGGACCAGAAGCGCCCGCTGTGTGCAGGGGGCGCTCAGGTCACCAGCTAAGCCTCGGCAGCTCGGTCTTGAGTGCGGCAAGGAGCCAAGGCAGGCTCGGAGCCGGGGATGGCACGGTTCCCGGTGTGCTCGAGAAGCCCCCGCGGGTTACAGGGCCGGGCGGCCCCCAGAAGGAGGCCCTGCACCAGGCCCCGTACATGCCACGGGCAGTGGGGGCTTGGAGCCAGGGTTCTGCAGCGGGTACACGCAGGCCTGGGAGCCCGTTCCCACAGTAGGCCCGGTCTCCCTGCAGCCGAGGCAGGGGGCCAGGGAGGAGGCTGGCACCGGGGCCTCACACACGGTCCCTCCCACCCAGGGCCTGGCTGAGTACTGCACACTGATCGACAGCTCGTCCTCCTTCCGCGCCTACCGGGCTGCCCTCTCCGAGGTGGAGCCCCCGTGCATCCCCTACCTGTGAGTAGAGCCCCCGCAGCTTTGCCCCGCTGGCTGCTCCCCGGGGGGACGTACGTGTAGAGAGAGAAACCCTCCCTTCAGGGTTTCCAGCTCAGACGTTAGACTTCTATTTTAATGTTAAACTGTAACAAGGAGCGTGTTTTAAACAGAAAGGAAGGGTCCAATGAAAACAGTCCCGCTCTCCCATCTCCCAGTCCCACTGCTGTTTCCTTCCCATGTCTGCCGGGAACAGGACTTCTCTTCCCCCTCACCCCCGCCAAGGGTCCTCAGCCTTGGCTGCACCTTACAGTAGCCGGAGGGCTTTATAGTCAGTCACCCAGGAGCCCTGAGAGCATTTCCCCATGTGGGAGCCAAGGCATGGAGGAAATGGGGGGACATAGCCCTCATCACATAAGCTGAAGGCAATAGTTGAAAAAGTCAAAGCTAGACCGGTTTGTCATCAGAGCCCTTACTAAGCGGGTAGACACGGGGAACCTCTACGAGGGGGCAGAAGACTCCGCAATGGCCCCGGGTGGGGGGCTGCCCTCCCAGAATGCTACCATGCTTTCCCCGGGGGGTGGCGGCTGGGCTCTTGGCAATGTGTCACCTGGGCCCCATTGCTCACCTTACGGCTTCACGTTCTCTCTGGTGAGAAGCACCTGTTAACACAGAGAATCTCCATGCCTCCGTCACCCTGGGCTTTGGGTCTGCTGTTTTTTTTCCTGTTCATGTATTAATTTTACAAGGCTCCTCCCACACCCAAGCTGGCTTTCCCAGAGACCCAGAGTTTCTAGGTCAGGAGTTCACACAAGAAGAGACCAACACAGGCCAGATGTGCTCTCTGGAGCAGTGACCGGGCCTCTCCGTCCTCCCAGGGGGCTTATCCTGCAGGACCTCACCTTTGTTCACTTGGGCAACCCAGACTATATTGACGGGAAGGTGAATTTTTCCAAACGGTGGCAGCAGTTCAACATTCTGGACAGCATGCGGTGCTTCCAGCAGGCGTGAGTACCGGGGCGCTCGTGCCTGGCCCCCCGAGGTGCGATGGGGGCAGGGATGAAGGAACACCAGGGTCTGCATCAAGGTGGTGGCCCACCGCATCCAGGGAGACTGCAGTACGGGGGGGCCCGAGGAATGGGGGTTCCCTAGGGCAGCTTGCAGAAGGGCAAGCGGGCTCCTGCCACCAGCTCTCCACCTGTGGGGTGCTCGGGTGCTGGGACCACACGCATGGTCCCTCCGGGAGGCCATTGAGCTGCTGGCCCCACGCCGGTCCTGACTGGAGGCCCCCCACAGGCACTATGATATCCGAAGAAATGATGACATCATAAACTTCTTCAATGACTTCAGCGACCACTTGGCGGAGGAGGCCCTGTGGGAACTCTCTCTGAAAATCAAACCTAGGAACATCACGAGGAGAAAAACAGACCGGGAGGAGAAGACCTAGGAGCAGGTGCCGTGAGCGAGGAGAGCGCTCGAGAGAGGCTCTGAGGGCTGCCGAGACCGGGAGCGACTTTGGACCTGGCCCCGGGGCAGGCTGCACGTGTCCGGCCCCAGGGCTCAGCCAGCCCTCTGCTGTGCCGGGCAGGAGCCCCAGCCTTCCTGCTCCCCTTCCCCACGGGAGCAGACACCAGGCCCACCGTGGAGCCAGCAGGCAGGTCTCGTTCCTGATTTGTGAGCCCGTGGTTTGGTTTTGGTTCCGGTTTCTGCTTTCACTTCCGTATTCCTCACCCCCCCCCACCCTCGCCTGGGAGCCGCACAGGGAGAGCGGCAGACCAAGGCACGCCGGGACTCTCTCCACCCCTCCCTTAGGTTTTAGGGTCCTGAATCTGCTGAAATGACAAATGAGTGGACGCTGAGAGGTGGCGGGCTGTACCCCAGGGACTTTCAGTTGGGTCGGCAGAAAGCAGAGAAGACCCAGGAGGCTCCTTTTACTTTCCTTTCCCGGCTTCTTAAATGCAAGATGGTGTGAGCTTTTGACGTGGCCCAGAAAGGTTCACCAGGTGGCCTTTCAGTAGCACTGGGCTGGGGCTCCCGTCACGGTACTGGCCCTCAGAACCGTCCTCTTCCCGTCCCTTCCTCTCCCCGACCACCTGGCACTTGGGGAGCTGGGAAGAAGATGGAGCTAGGGAGGGTGGAGGTTTAGCTGAGCGGGGGGCCAGGAAGTCCTCCTGGGTGAATGAGGTTGGAGAGTGGAGGGGCGTTTCTGTCCTGGGGGAGGTCAAGGTCCCTCCTCTGTCGCTTGCTGTGTGCCTTAAACTCCATCTCCTGTCCCCTAGCCCCCGTGGGCTCCCCTCCTACCTTGCTCCATCCTGGTGGGGCCAAGGGGTGCCTCTCCGACCTCTCCCCCATGCGCAGCGAGCTCTGCCCGATTTAGGACAGGGCGCCCCGCCCCAGACGGGGGCTGCCGTGGCTCTGGAGGTGCCTGTGGAGGCTGACTGGCCCGGCTCCTACCCCCTGCCCTGGGGCCCGCTCGCGCTCCCCATCTTCCTGGTTGGAAACCACACTTGCTGGTGAGGTGGACTGTCGGAGGCAGGTTCGCAGGGTGGTCCCGCACACAGAGGGCCACTGTCCCCCTGCCCCTTGGGTCCTGGTTTGCTGACTGAGTGCTTGCTTCTCCCGGCCTTTACTCGGTCAAGCAAATGCCAGGGTCGAACTTCTTAAACAACCGCGTCACTTTGAGTCTCTCCTGGGTCCTGAGCAGCTTTCTCCGCTCTTGTTTGGGGTCCTGGACCTAGAGGGGAGGACGTGTGAAATGCCAGTGGCGCCCCCTCGGGCACCGGTCTGGCTGCGCGGGCCGAACGTGTCACTTTCTTATTTAAAGCGTGTGGCTGCTGTTCTTCAGCAGTGCAGGGCCAGGGGTCCCCTCACTGAGGTCGCGTCCTCCCCCCTCCCGTCTTGCCCCTGCCTGGCCCGGCGCCGCCAGAGGCTGCTGCATTCGGGGGGGCCGAGGCCCAAATATTCATGCGGGGTCCCGTCCGCGGATGGGGATGGGGGCTTCACCCTCCGTCCCCTCCCCTCTGGGAGCCCTGCCAGGCAGAGGGAGGCAGTGTGGGGGACGCGGCTCCCTGCGTGAGGACTGCAGGGGCCGTGTGCGGTTAACTTACTGGCTGGCAGGCTTCCCACCCTGTGCTAGCCGCGCATCCGGGCTCTGCTCGGCCTTGGGGACCAGGACCCGGTGTTCCCTGCGGCGGGGGGGGGGTGCTGGAGCCAGGGAGGGGCGGCCGCACGCCAGGTCAGGAGGAACCCAACCTTTGAGAAGCGCCTCCCTCTCCCCCAACTCCACCCGTTCCCCCGTTACAGTGTAATATATATGTATCCCCACTAACCTGGCTGATGGTGGTATCTTCCCGCAGACATTTCAAACCTGTAACTTTTATACGAAAGGAGAATAAACACGGATGAAAGCTGCGTCCACGTGACCATTCGAGCTGCCCCCACGGGGGGTGGGACAGAGGCCACCAGCCCATCTGGAATTTTCCCTCCTTGGTCTTGTGCCCCGTAAGTGGATTAGTGCACAAGTCCCGTACTGCCCCCCAGCCTGCTGGTCGAAACTGAAATTTCTAGGGTAGAATTCTGGGGGCACAGAGGTACCTGGAGCTACTTTCCAAAGCCCCCAAAGCAGGGTCTGTGAAGGCGCGCCTTCTGTACCATTCTGTGTCCTGCCCGCCCCGAGGCAGCATGCACAGGCTTGGAAACAGCCCCACACGTTCGGGTTTCTGTGCTCTGACGGGGCTACGTCTCCTGCTACGCTGAGCCCTTGGACTTCACCCCAGCCTGTGTGTCGCCCCCAGCATCTGAGAGAGAGGCGGTCAGCTGCTGAGTCCTCTACTAGTCGCCAATATCAAGAACTAGCCTGGGCTGGCCCCTCTCCTGCAGGTGACCCGGAGGTCACAGGCCGGGTGCAGACACCTGTGCTGAGCCTGCCACCTAGAACCACAGGGCACGCCTCAGCCTGGCGAAGCGCCTGGGTCCCACCGCCACCCCCACATGGCACAAGCAACCTGCGTGCTTAACCCAGCAGCTCAGGAGGTGCAGAGGACCTGAGAATGAGACCTCCCTACCCCCACCCCATATGCAGACCTCAGATCCGTGTCCGGCCCTGGGAGGGGTGCAGTGGCTCCACACAGCTCCCTCCAGCCGCGTGAGAGGCAGACCCCGCACATTCACGGAAGCCACCCCCCTTCGTCGGTTCGTCTTACTCACTAGGGGTGCATGACTTAGGAGCCCAGTCAGGCAGGGCGTGGGTCGTTCTTGTCCCGCATTTGCTGGGGACGCCCTGGAGGTACCTCACCCTTGGCTAACATGGGCTCCAGTCCCGGTTCTGTAGTGAGAAGCCACGTGACCTTAGGTAAGTGGCCCCCGCACTGCTGCCCGGGTTTCCCAGCTGGGGCTGGGGTGATGACAGCTTTTACCTCCCAGGTCTCTGAAGGCGCAGTGAGTTAATACTTGGAATGGGGTCTGGTAAGACTACTTCTCTGCACACACACAGAGGTGTGGGTCCCAAGCACTCCACAGACCCCTTTCCTTCATTCACTCTCAACTAAATAACCCCCCCCCCCCCCCAGCGAACCATGACAGCCATGGTAAATGCCACATGAGGAGGTGCCTGACCTCCGCTCACAGACCTCCGGTCCACACAGGCTCACCAGCAATTCGTGCCGAACAAGTCGCTTTAGTCTTATGCACACGCGCCTAAGAACAAAAGGGGGAAACACCTCTCAACTCGTCGAGTAGAACATAGTCTTGACATCAAACCCAGACAACCGTCCAAGAAAATTATAGGCAAATACTTGCACAAAACTTCTAGAATAATTTTAGCAACCCTAAGCCAGGAGCATATAGAAGTCCATACCCCCTGACCACGCTGGGCTTACCCTTAAATGCAAGGATGGAATGTCAGCGAGCTGGTGACCATTCCAGACCTTCATGCTCCATAGCTTATCCAGGTGCCCCCACCTGGTGCCCCTCTGCTTCCTGGGCACCAGGGAGACGCTCCTTCCCAGCCCCCTGCAAGGAGGTCCATGAGACCCAAGGGGCCAGACACGTCACTTGGGCCTGGGAACTCAGCATGGGTGCCCCCTTCATGCTCACTCTTTCCCCACCCTGACACACTTCGAGTCCAGATGCTGAGATGGCAGAGCTCTAAATGGAGGGAACCAGACAGGGACCACCCCTACCGTCCCCCACTCGACTTCACGTAAGAAGTGACCCTGTGCGAGCTAACCCACTGGGATTGCTGGGTTTATAAACGTTCACAACGTGGCCTAGCTGCTCCTGAGTGTACCATGCGAACAAACTGAAGGAAGAATACCATATAATCACCTCGGCAGTCAGAAAGGCCTTTGTTAGAAATGCGACACCCATAATTTTCATTTAAAACTCTTAGAAATCAAAAACTTCCTTAATTGATAAAAGTCACCTTCCAGAAATTCCATGCAAACGTTATACTTAATGTTAAAATACTCAGAGCGTTTCCGTTAAAATCAGAACAAATTAAGGACCCTGCTGTCACTTTGTCCATTGCTCTATTGGAGATTCTAGCCAATGCAGCAGGAAAAGGAAAAAACGAGATTACTAAGAAAAAGCTACCAGGCTGGGTGGCTGGCTGGGACAGTAGAACGTGCGACTCTTCATCTCATGGTCTTGACTTCAAGTCCCATGTTGGGCTTTAAAAAAAAAAAAAAAAAAGAAATTTAGGGCCGCCTGGATGTCTCAGTTAAGCATTCAACTCTTGATTTCAGCTCAGGTCATGATCTCAGGGTCTTGAGACTCAAGTCCTTCATTGGTCTCCACACTGAGCATGGAGCCTGCCTGGGATTCTCTCTCTCTGCCTGCTCACCCCCAACTTGTGCACTGTCTCTCTAAAAAATAGTAATAAAAAAGGAATCCTCGAAGGTAAGTAGCTGTGCAGTCAGGAAAAAAAAAAATGATTATGTTCCAATATACAACCAACAACTAAAAACCAATTCTTGAAGGCTCCCACTTATGCTGGCATCATAAGCCTTAAGTGAAACCATTAACCTCCAAAAAGAGGATGTAGCAATTGTAAATACTTTTGTACCAACACAGGAACACCTTTATACACAGCAAATAATAGACCTAGAGGGGGAAAAGGACAGCAATAGAATAATAAAGGACTTAAGTATGCCACTCACATCAGTGGACAGATCAAACAGAAAACCAACAAGGAACTGTCTGCCTTAAAGGACACATTAGACTGGATGGACTTGATGGAACATTCCCTCCCAAAGCAACAGAATACACTTCCCCAAACACACATGCAGCCTCCCCTAAGGATCATACCTGTCAGGCCACAAAACGAGTCAATGAATTTAAGAAGTCTGACGTCCTATGAAGCGTCTTTCCTAACCAGAATGATGTGAAACCAGAAACCGGTTACAAAAAGAAAACCGGACAAGCGTTATGTGGAGAGTGAGCAAGCAGTGGGTCAAAGGAGACATCAGAATACCTTGAACAGGGCTCCTGGGCGGCTCAGTCAGTTGAGCGACTGCCTTTGGCTCAGGTCGTGATCCCGCATCCGGCTCCCTGCTCAGCAGGGCGTCTGCTTCTCCCTCTGACCTGCCCCCCCCATGCACTCTCTGTCTCTCATTCTCTCTCTCTCT